ACCTTAACCTCCTCCTTTTCCTCCTCTGCTCCTAGGGTACCAGGCCTCATCGTATTCACACCCGTTCTCGCCGTGCTCTCTGCGTCACCCCTTTAGGAGAGGACCGCTCCAGTGGTAAAGTAGGAGCGTCGCATCGAAAGACGCATCAATAGTCGAGCCACGGGCAAAAGCCATGGCTCAGATGGCAGGGTTCCAACGAGGCAGGGGCCAGGAGGGCAACGATGGCTCAACCACCAAGCACATTGGATATTCCTACGTCCGTCTTTACACAGCTTTACCTTCTGCTCTCGAGAGTCCCTGGCAGACGAATGTTTTTTTCGCTTGTTGCCCCCACCAGTCGCACTTCTGCTGCTTTCACTTCCCGCAAGCACGGAAAAGCTGACAAGGGAGAAGCGAAAGCGAGGAGGGCGAAGGGGAGGGGAAAATGTGGTTACCAAGCACGATTTTGGAAATCGCGTCGACGGCGGCGAAAGCAGAAACGCTTGGGCAGCAAGACTTAAAAGAAATGCGGTGAAGATGAGCAGCGATGGCAACGGTATTGTGTAAGGCTGCACACCTCCCACGGGCATCCCCCGAGGGCTTTGGGAGCACGAAGCTGAGAAGCCCAGCTTCCTCGAAAGGCGCTCTACAATAAATGAGAAAATTGCGCAATGAGTTTTCGAAATGAGAAGACGCGGACATAAATTGGGTGCAAAGGGAGTGAACGGAGGGGGTACTACCTGGTATGCGAGCATGGAAAAAGCGATCGAACGGCGAGCTAGCAGCTTCAGCGTCAGGGTAATCAACACAGGACATCAAATGCCGCCGCGCGACATGCTTCTCGAATGTCTGTTACCTACATTTAATTATCTCACAATTGTTTTGTTTCCAAAATCCTGGGGATAATGAGTCTTAGCCTCCGGCAACGCATAACAGCGCGGTCGCTGTGGCCCGAACAAATTGTTTTTCCCCCGAGGATCAACTACTTCTATCAGTGTAAACAAACGTGGACGTCTCACATTCACCCACCTCACATATTCTTTTTCTCCCGCCCCCTACACATTCAATGTACGGTCCTTAATTCCTGCCATTAGCTTTCTCTTGAAAGAATATTATTTGCTGGGATAACCTCCTCCCTTGCAGCTCGAAGTCTAACGTGACTTCAGCCACGGTGATGGCAGCAACTGCGCCAGTCGCTGCACCTACCAGTGCGTTGATAACCCAGGCGCAACAGAAGACAGTGGCATATTTGCCGAGGATCGACTCCCAAAGAGCTCACACAGTGAGTGCTACGGACTTGGAGGGGGCTTTCCAGTACGAAAAAAAATACGTTGGTACGGCTTAAAGGGAGGACTCAGGGACTGTTGGTCTCGTCAAAAACCAAAAATTGCACATTTGAGTCGTCGGAGGTGTATAGATTTTGAAAAAGGAGCATGGAAAGATCCACAAATTCTAGCAAGGGAGGATGTAATTCCTCGTCTTCTCCTCAAACCACCCTTCCCCCTTCTTCGATAAACCTCCGTCTCTGACGTCCTCAGGCAAAGTAAGAGATGTCTATACCACGGCAGACTCCCTCCTTCTCATTTCCACGGACCGCCAAAGCGCATTCGACCGCAACCTTGCCTCAATCCCGTTCAAAGGACAAGTGTTGAACTTAACCTCCCAATGGTACGGCCCCAGACAAGCGAAGAGGGAGGTCATCGACACCTTGCCTTTCACTTTCCTGCGTCCTCCCCTCAGCCGTGTTCTCTCGCCATTTCCCAATCCCAACTCCTTGTTCACTGCTGTTCGCTCCTCACAGACACTTCTCCCCTCCCTCTTCCCCTCCCTTCCTCAGGTGGTTCGAGAAGAGTAAAGATCTGGTGCCCAACCACATCCTTGCGGTTCCTCACCCAAACGCCTGCATCGGGAAGAAATGCACGGTGTTTCCCGTCGAATTCGTCATGCGCGGGTGAGGGTGTCGCGCCATCTCTTTCTTTCCCCTGTTGCTCCTTCCCTCCCTCCCTTTCCTCGCCCTTTCCCCTCCTCTCATCTTTTTCTTACCCAAGGCGACGTATCGTTCGCTCGTATGCTTCTGATTACCAATCCTCTCATTTCCCTTGGCGATTGCACGCAAACCCGCTCATCTTGTCCCTTTCTCCCTCCCCCTCCCCTTCTCCCTCCCCAGCTACATTACGGGGTCGACCGACACCTCCCTCTGGACCAATTATAAGAAGGGCGTGCGACAGTATTGCGGTCATGCCCTGCCAGAGGGGTTGAAGAAGACACAGAGGTACTTTCTTGCCTCCCTGCCTCCCTCCCTCCCTTCCT